AGGCCCCAGACCCTGTTTTCCCCCCCGCCCCCCCAAGCCAGCCAGTCCCTGCCCTGGGGCCGGGTGGGAGCTGACACCCCCAGGGGGGCCCACCCCCTTGCCGTGGTGTTTGACCTGGTCTCTCCCCCCACAGAACTGACCGGGCTCCGGCACCGTGTGGCCTTTCTGGATAAGGAGCTCGCCAAGGCTCAGAAGGTACCTGCCTTCCCCGAGCGGGGGGAGCGTTGGGGTGTGCGACGGCGCGGCCCCGACCCACGGGGCCCTGCTCGCCTCACCTGCTCCAGGATGCAGGGCCGGGGGGGGACAGCCGAGCGTAACCCCCCCATGGAGATGGCTTGCCTGGCGCTGAGATGCAGCCACCTCTGGGGTGGGTGGGAGGGAAGCTGAGAGTCTGCGGCGTTGTTAGTTACTCACTCTTCCCTTCTCTCTCTCTCTCTCCAGGCTCTGGGGAAAAGCAAGAAGGCTCAGGTGAGGCCGTCCCGTCGGGAGCGGGAAAGCCTCGGGCGGGTAGGGCTGTTCTCTGTCACCGGGACCAGCGGGAGGCCCGTCACCGGGGCGCCTGGGCGCTTCGCGGTTAAACGCATTGATCTGGGCTTGTAAGCAGGTGCTATTGTCACTGTGTGCCAGACAGGGAAACTGAGGCACGGCTAAGTGACCACATTGAGGCAACAGCAGAGCACCAGGAGTCCTGGCTCCCGCCCCCCCTCCCCGCTCTAACCACCAGATCCCCTCCCCGTGCTGGTGAGAGAACCCAGGAGTCCTGTGCCCCAGGCTGTCACCCTGCCCACTCAGCCCTCCTGCCCCTGGGGCAGCCGATCGACCCGTTGGGGTGCCCGGCTCTGGGACTGTGTGGGAGGAGGGGATGGAATGAGTGGTGGGGGGAATTGGGGGGCAGAGTTGGGGTCAGGCTGGGGCGTGTTGGGTGAAGGTGGCGGGAGGGGATGGATCTTGGCGAGGGGCAGAGCTGGTGTCTGGGCTGAGGGGAGGGGGGCTCTGTGCTCTGGGGGGGGGTCAGAGCTGGTGTCTGGGCTGGGGGAATGTGGGCTCTGTGCCCTGGAAGGGGCGGGGGGCGGCTCTGTGGCCGGGGGGGTCACAGCCGGTGTCTGGGCTGGGGGAGTGGGGGCTCTGTGCTCTGGAAGGCGGGGGCAGTCTCTGGGGGGGGCGGCTCTGTGGCCGGGGGGGTCACAGCTGGCCTCTGGCCCCCCCAGGAGGTGGAGGCCCTGCTCAGCGAGAATGAGATGCTGCAGGGCAAACTGCACAGCCAGGAGGAGGATTTCCGGCTCCAGAACAGCACCCTGCTGCAGGAGCTGTCCAAGGTACCCGGCGGGGGGGGGGGGGGGCTCGGCCGTGGGCGGTCGGG